CTACAACTGATGTCATTCTTGGTACAGTGCCACCACAGGCCAGCGTGAGAACAGGTTTATCAGACGGTTTTGTTCATTTGGATACAATGCAGTGAGAAAGAGAACCACAGCAGCTGAAAATGTAACAGATGTTGCGATTTTGGTCTCCAGTTTATCAGGTGTTAAAACTCCTTCAGTTTTTTTCCCTCAGTGTGTTTGGTCCTGTTTGTAATGTTAGTCAGGTTGTTGGCTGCTCAAATCTCTAAGTCCAGATGAGTTTAACGAGTGAATTCCCTCCTCCTTTTTCAGGGTACTACAAAGACGACCGCAGTAAGTTCCCATACGAACGGCGGCCCGCCTCCAGAGCCTACGTGGCTCCTGGCGAGGGCGACTTCTACTACTGCGGCGGCGCCTTCGGAGGCGTCCTGGCCGAGGTTCATCAGCTCGCTCAAACCTGCCGCAAGAACTTCGAAGACGATGCCAAGGAAGGCATTGAGGCTGCCTGGCAGGAGGAGAGCCACTTGAACAGGTAGGCAGGTAAAGTACACAGATGCTAGGCCTGGTTCTACAATCTGGTGATGTCATTTCCTGTCTCTGTGCCCAGGTACATGTGGCTGAACAAGCCCAGTAAGGTTCTGTCTCCTGAGTACCTGTGGCAGGATTTCAAAGCCAGAAACTCGGAAGTTCGTGTAATCAGATTCTCTGGGGTCATAAAGAACTACAACGAAATACGACCCAACTGAGCTGAAGTACTGGGCCAACCAACTTCCTGTTCGCTCCGACCCAGACTCAATACGAGCATGTGCAATACTCACCGACTGGATCAGTTCTGTTGTTTCACTGGTTTAACTGGGAGTCTGTTTGAAGGAACCTGGAAGAACCCAGAGGTTTGTATGTGAATTAAAGTGGCTGCTGGTTCTGATTCTGCAGCTGCTGCTGGTTCTGATTCTGCAGCTGCTGCTGGTTCTGATTCTTCTCTTGATGCCAACGTTCTGCAGGTATCAGTGATTGACCGTAACACATTACTGTAAAATGGTTCCTTCTTTCAAATGAGTAAAGTAAAGCTACATTTGGAAAAAGGTAATTAGATTACTGATACTTCAGACGAACAACGTTTAATGTTTGGAAGAACAAACATTAGTTTGATTTAAAGACAAAAACATCTTCGTGTGTAGAAAACTTACATCCAGGGGAAAACTCCTCTTTAAACCTGAGGAATCAAAACGCAGAAACCCTCGGGCAATGCTACAACATCCTGCTAAACAGGTGAAATGTTTTACTTCACCAACTGTTAAGAGATGTAAATGTTAATAAATAGAAGTACAGGAGGGCGGGACTTTTATTTAAATTCATTTGTTTGATTTCATCCTTGTAATTTATGTGAGTGAAAGAGTGTAAACATTAAAATAATTTTATTTAAATGGTGGAATAGGGCTGATTACGGTTTAACTTATTTTTTTCAAATATGGTGGAATACACAGAGAATATGTTTTAATACTCAATAAAAAATGTTGCATTCCTATTTTCTTTGCTTAATACATAAAGTTAAGAGCAAAACAAAAGTTCTGAAAAGAAACAGTTTCATTTAATTAAACTTTAAATGACGAATAAAGTTAGACTGAAAGATATTGCTTTATTTAGCAATTATGAAAAGTAACTAATAAGTCATCAGTAAAGTAACTGGATTACTTTCTTGGGTAGTAGGAAGTTGACCAGCTCTGCTCAGGATCCTCCTGCTCTCTCCTGGAACCACAGATTCAAAAAGCTCCGTCATTTCAGCTGTTCGTTTTCTGGATCTTTGGAGTTCGTCTCGTATCGAGAGGTTCTGTCTTCTGTGCAGCTGCCTCCACCAGGGGGAGCCGTTTCAAAACTTTATGGCTCCAATAAGTACTACCTACCAGCAGAATGTGTTATATTTCATATTTGATAAAGTTCTTGGACTTTTTTATGTGACTTTATGTCCGTTAGGTGATTCAAACTGATTTATATAAGCTTGTTCTGAAAACGCAGGACGTCTTGTCCAGCAGGGAGCGCATGTTGGGAACGCTTTAACAAATAATTACCACTGAGGAACTTTAATACCCAGAAAAATCAGAATTTTGGATGAAATCCACCATCTGTTGGTACCAGGTTGCTAACAGAACCACAGCTGCCCAGATGATCCGTCATCCATGCAGGAAGGTGTGAACTTGTAAACACCAGAGTAATGTTTGTTTTTCTTATGGTTAGGTTTGAATTACCTCTCTGCAAAAATAGGGATCATTGTTAAAGTGACATAAAACAATAAAACCTGCCAGATTGTGTTGTTCTCTTTGTCCGGATCATCAGACCGTTTAGTCTCAGAAGTAGAGGGATTTCTCACACCTTCTGGGCCCTCCTCATACCGCTGCGCCTCATCTAAAACCTTAAAAGTATCCTCCCCTTCACAAATCAGACAGAACATTATGACTGAACATTTGAGAAAGGTGTCAGAACATCCCAGGGCAGGAGTATCGGATGGATCCAGAAGCTTCTGTTAGAAAAAAAAATGGTGATAATGTTTTGCCTAGACATCAGTTTAAAGTAGTTATTTTGTTTTTAGAACCAGATCAGACACTTTTCAGTTCCTAAAAATATGACCGAATTGACTTCAGTCAACACCTTTCCGTCAGAATTACCAGGATATTACATGTATGCAGTTTAATAAGCAGTTACAGCAAATCGCCTGCAGGAGGCGATAAATCGATGTGTTTATCTACGAGTGTTTCCGAACAGAGAAACTAAATAAATGAGGAAAAACTCCAAGTTACTGCGGTTCGCCTACAGGAAGCGGGTTTCTGGCAACTAATTGTGTGAAATGTTTCATCAGAGATAAAAACCATTAAAATTTAAGAAATAAACTGGATTAGCAGTTGATGATGTCATCACTTCATGCTGAGGAATATAATTCCTGCTGCTCAGATATGGAGCTGTTGGCATGTCATGACACCATCATTAAGCAAACTTCAGATTTGTTGGAGATCCACAACGATTCTTTGCAGTTTCTTCAGTCTTATGAGTTATGACAACATTTAAATTTCCCTTTGGGATTAATAAAGTATTTTTGGATTGAATTGGGTTGGACTTTCTTCAGGATCAACAAAGTTTTGCTCCGTGTTTGTGAGGAAACATCCGGTTGTTTTTTCTCCTGGAGTCGCAGGAAGAGTTTTGTTATTGATCCTAATCTGTTTGCTTTTTGACATCAGATGAGTTTTCTGCTGGGTCCTCGTTATCATCCGACCTCTCTGTCATCACACAGCAATCAGGGTCTTCCTGCTCAGCCCTTCATCTTTCTCTATCTACACAGACACTTCCTTCAGAAACACAAAGTCCCACACTGACTGATTCACGTTGTTGGAGAAACTGTAATGTTCGTCACCCTGGATTCACTCTAATTCATCAGAAAGTTATTTTTTTTAGTTGCACACGAGTGCATGTCGACAATAAGGGCAGAAAGGAATGTTTTTCAGTCGGATTATGGAGATAAAGTTATTGAGAGCTCAGATCTGCTTGTAGAAACTCACAGAGATTAAAATGTAACCTGAGGAGCAGCAACAAGGGCCCTCATGTTCGTGGTTAACAGCCTGTGAATTCAGATTTTATCATAGAAAAAATCTAAACAGCCTCAACATTCACCCTAACAACCTGCGCTCACCCCGTTACATCTACCTGTTAGTCTCCTCCTGAAACCAGCTACTCTCTCATTTCTGCTCAGGTTCCTTTTCACCAAAATCTGTTAGGAATCCCAACCGAATCATCATCTTGTTTCTACAACCAGACTCCAAAGATCTTCTAGAATTAAAAGATCCTGGGCCAGAAAATACCAACTTCAGTCCCGTCTAACCACCAACCTATTATTTAAAAAGCTTCAGTCTGGATTTTGTCCCCATCACTGATTAAAATAACCAACAATCTCCTCTTCACTGCTGAGTTTGGTTTCCTTTTCCTTCTCATCCTCATTGATCTGAGTGTGACCTTTGACATCATCTCGCACTCCATCCTCCACCAAAGATTTTCTTCCATTTGTATTCTCACCCCTCTAAACGCACTCAGTTCATTCATTTCTGTTCTCCCTCCTGGTGTTCACCAGGGCTCAGTTCTGGGCCCTTCTTTTTATTATTCATCTCCTCTCCATTGGTTTCATCTTCAAACATTTCAACATCCAGTTTCACCGCTATGCAGATGACACCCAGCTCTACCTCTCCTTGACCTCTGTAAGTTGCTGATGGTTTGTTGGTTTTAAAACAATGTTTTAAATAAAAGGTTTTATTATTACTTTTTATTTGTGATGATACAGTAAACCTAGGAGCTTAACCATATCTGCTAACCGTAGCTATAAACTGTAACCATTGAGTGACCTGAGTTGACCTTTGAGTCCCATGAGAGTAACTAAGCCCCGGTGGGGAACAAGACAAAAACACATAATGAAGCTGAAACACTGTGTTGCTTTAAGGTAAACGTTTGGAGATTTAGACACAGAGTCTGTCAATATCAGAGAATCTGGACCAACATCAGCAATATGACAACAGACAGAACCTTTTATTTTGAGTTTCTGCTAGTAGAGATTTCCCTGGCCTGCAGTCTGGATGCCTGATGACAGGAATAAAACTGAAATTGTTCGCATTTAAAACTGTCTGACAGCTCAGTTAGCATCCTCTCGGGTTCTCAGCCTGAAGGGATTTGCGGAACAGAGAATGATTGAAGAACTTCACACCACAGCTTGATCCTGGTTCCTCACGAAGCCATCACTGTTTTGTTCCTTTTTCTGCTGTTGTCTGAAAAAATTGAGCTCCAAAACAGAATTTGTTCTGATTCTGGACATTAGGAATAAGGATGGCTATACTAGCTGTTACCAGCAGGTTAGGGTTACCTGTTGGAGTGGAAGCTTCCTCCGATGATCCAGGTCGCGTTGGGTCATCAGATCAGTTTGTTTCAGGAAGCTTTAAACCTCTGAATGCTCTTTTGTTTTGGACAATTTCAGGTGCTTCATGATTTCAGTTCTTCAGTGCTTCTGTCAAGGGATTTCAGACCAGTTCATTCCTGTTTCAGGTCCTTCATATGTTTTAGCAACTCTGTATGCTGTTTCAGATAGAAACTATTTTAGGAACTTAAAAACACTTGAGAGTATTTTATTGAGTTTGTGTGGTAATAATTATAGTTCAGGATATTTCAGGTCATTTGTTGCTGTTTTAGGATATTTCTGACCATTCCAAATGGTTCAGGATGTTTCAGAACCCAGATGACTGGTTCAGGAAGTTTCGCAGCAAATTTTCAGGTTGTTTTCAGGCTTTTTTATCGCTATCCAAGGATGTTTCTGACCTTTGAAGATGGTTTTAGGAAGTTTTATGACCTTCATGACTATTTTGGGAAGTGTTAGCATCTTGATGTCTGTTTCAGTAAGTTTTAGGTCCTTGAAGGCTTTCCAGCACCTTCAAGGCCTTCTTGGGATATTTCTGACCATTGAAATTGGTTCCCTGAAGTTTCAGAACCTGAATGACTGTTTCAGGAAGTAGTAGACCCTTGATGGCTGTTTCAGGGAGGTTTATTTTCTTGTTGATTTTTTTCAGGAAGTTTCACACTGTCAAAGGCCCTTCAGGTGATTCCTGTCTTCCATTTCCGAACATTTAAGACGGTTTCAGGAAGTTTCACAACCTCAGTGACTTATTCAGGAAATGTTAGACCATTGTTGACTGTCTCAGGAAGCGTTGAACCGTTGATGACTGGTTCAGGAAGTTTTAGGCCCTCGATAACTTTCAGGAAGCTTCACAGCAGATTTTCCAAGTGATTTTAGGTCCTTCATACGAATGTAAGGATTCACAACCTTCATGACGTTTTAAGTTTCTGATGGCTGTTTCAGGAAGTTTTAGGCCCTTAAAGTCTTTGGGTGGTTTCAGGTCCTTCATTGCTGTCTTAAGATATTTACAACCATTGAAAATAGTTCCCCACGTTTTAGAACATAAATGACTGTTTCAGGAAGTGCTGGACCCTTAATATGTGAGTCAGAAAGTTTTAAATTCTTAACTGATGTTTCTTGAAGTTTTAGAGGCTTGTTGACTGTTTCCAAAAGTTTTAGACCCTTGACAACTCTTTGAGGAAGTGTTAAGCTCTTAAAGGCTGTTTAGTAAGTCTGGACCCTTGACAACTACTTTAATTAGATAGTGTCTGGCTTTTGATGACTTTTGCAGAGGGTTTTTCATCCAGGATGGTTCAATCAGAAAGTTTTGCCTAGCTGAAGGTATTTCAGATGGCTTCAGGTCTGTTGTTGCTGTGCTGGGATATTTTCAACCACTGAAGACGGTTTAAGGGAGTTTCACAACCTTAATGCCTCGTTCAGGAAATGCTAGACCCTAGATGACTGATTCAGGAAGTTTAGCTTCAATTAGCTAGCATCCGGCTTTTGATAACTTTCTTAGAGGGTTTCTGATCTGTGACAGTCTGCAACATTTAAGGCTTTTCAGGTCGTTTTTGTTTCCTTGTGGCTGTAGCTCTTTACTGTTGTAGTAA